TCAGAGACAGTGCGATTGGCACAGGACAGAGCAGAGTTCAGGGCTGTTGTACATAGGGTCGCTGTGAGTGGCAGGCGACTCGACGGCACACAACAATGAACCACTTGACCACCAGCACGCCCTGCTCAGAACAACAGGGAAGCACCCTTTCCTCTAGACCCAACATGCCTTCCGGTGCGGGCCCCGGGACATCACCTCTTGAACCCATAGATCCAGGCAATGGCAATGGCTTCCATGGCGATGAGGAGGAGGATGGGAAGCACTAAGCAGTAGTCCCCCAGCAGTTTCATGTAGTAAAAGCCTGGAGGGCGAGCGAAGAAGAGGCTACACAGGAACAGGAGCACAGAGACACTCACTGGAGAAAACATCGGTTTGGGATTAAGGTCAGAGGCCTGGCTGTGTGATAAGGGCTAGCTAAGCAAAGCCCATTAGACCAGGTCTAGGCGTTAATGTGAAAATCCACGGGCTATTATTATGGGGCTAGGACTAAGGGTCAGAATACCTATGAGCAACCTGGGATGTTTCTCAAACAAAGAGAAGGTGTCCTGAAGGAGGGTGAGGATGTTCTGCAAGACCCCAACTACGGAAGTCATCCCAAGACACAGGTGCATCAGGAAGAAGAGGACGAACCAGAAGCCAGACCCAGGGATGAACGACAGAGCTTCCACGAAGGCCAAGTAGGCAAATCCTGAGCCCCCCTGGAAGTGCAAATAGGAGGGAAAAAAATACAATAGAATGTACAAAGATATAGTCTGTAAAACTCTCTGAGATCCCCAAATCTCTTAAGATAATCGGATCTCCCAGCTGACCCCGTGACATAGAAGCCCCACAGGAACTCCGGTTGTAGCGTCGACTCTGGGGAAGTCTGCTTCCACCCCTGCAACCACCGTTACTGACCTGCAAGATGTGATCCTGTATCTTACAGCTCGACACCTTTCTTAGGATCATGCTCTTGAAGTCAGGAGGGAGGCTTTCCAGCCAGTTGGTGTACAGGGCGCCTGGGTTAGCGAGAATGTTCCCAGGGGGTTGGACATCAGGAGGCAGCTTGTTCGAGTACACGAGATCCATGATGATGTTAACATTCCTGGGAACAAGAGGTGGGATCCCATCAAACCGTCCGGCCCCCTTGAGAGACTTGACTAGTTTTCCCGCCTTGTCTAGATGAGAACCATTAACTAGCCAATCGTGACTGATCTTGGCGAGAGAGAACCTATGACGAAATCTACATGGCACGGCTTGTGGAAGAACTAGTCTGAAGAACTCATGAGTAGGAAGGACATCAAAAGAGGCCATTGCTATAGTGTTCTTTCTCGGGAACTCTAGTGCCCTCACTCAAGTAATGAGGTCTTTTATTTGCTTCTCTTCTCTTCTCTTCTCTTCTCTTCTCTTCTCTTCTCTTCTCTTCTCTTCTCTTCTCTTCTCTTCTCTTCTCTTCTCTTCTCTTCTCTTCTCTTCT